CGATCTTTGCATATTAATCTTGTGTCTAACAATCTTGCTTCATGTCTTTTTCATTGCTAATAATCCATTCATCCTCATGTTGGATTTCCTGCAAACACAGTTGTATTGTTTTGGAATAGGAGCAACTTTGTATCTGTCTCACTCACATTCAGTTCATTTCTCTTTTCTTCACCTGGCTGCGCTGGACTGGAACGCCAGTGCAATTTGAAGCAAAGCGGCACAGCAGGATTGAGCTGGACACAAACAGGAATGCTTCCTGCTAACAATAATCTTAGTGCTTGCTCACCTCCCAGGGTTTCTGTGTCATTTGGTTGTGCCTTTTCTAAATTCTTTCCATTCTTGTCAAATTAGCAATGAATCTAAAAAAAAAGAAAGAAACACTTTGTGTGTGTGTGTGTGTGTGTGTGTGTGTAAAGCCAGCATTTTTAGTTGTTTTAGGAGAACAGTCATTCAGGAGATCTAGCTCACTATGTTGTTGGACATAAAAGTCAATCAACTTTCTCTTTTATGGATCATTAAAGACAGAAACTGTGTATGACATGTATTGTCCCTTTATCACAATACTGAGAACACCCTAGGAGCGATTCAAGCGCTTCGCCTCCCCTTTCCCTTGATGCCTGGACTACCCCTCATTCTCAGAGGAATCCATTCAACAACACTTAGCTCTACCAGGATGCTGAACACGGCAAGATCCGGCCGGATTATTCCCTTCTGCAGCACACCGAAAAGAGAAACTCTTGGTGTGAATTTTCTCAAATGCCCTTTCTTTGACCTCTAAACGATGTGTTTTAATGTCTGATTTGCAGATCCCAGTCTAGTTATCTGTGGAGGTTGGTCCCCCCGCCCCCCGCATGTGTATGTTTATTTTACTCTATCTATCTAATCTATCTATCTATCTATCTATCTATCTATCTATCTATCTATCTATCTATCTATCATCTATCTATTACCTATATCAACTCTTTTAGCATGAATTACCTATATCAACTCTTTTAGCATGAAATGATGTATTTTTCAGGGAAAGGAATATAAGTATTGATTTATTTAGAATATAAAGATAAACACTATGGAATACTTCAGAGTTCATTTTATGACCAAAAGCTGTATCTCAAAAAGAGGGCTCCAATTTTATTGTTTCAGGAGCAAATGACTGCTTAAAATTGTGCTTGCTATCATGTGCACCAGCCACCCTATGTGAAAACAATTCTCCTGCATCCAAACTATTCTTCTTCAGCTCTGATATCTTGTGGAGCATTTCTTACCTATTTCCTTTTTTATTTCTTAAAAAACATCTTTGCTATTTAAAAAAAAAGTTTTTTGCTCTCTCATTGAGAGAGAGAGATAATTAAAAATGAAGAAGGGAGAAGGGAGCACAAATGCTGCAGACACCGACGACAATCTGGAGACATTAGGTAAAGCATTGTACCTTCTCTTGCACTAAAGGGGGATCAATAAAAAAGTAAATCATCACTGTTTAATTATTTGAAACTCTTAGATATATGGCACTTTACAGAAAAAGCATTCCTAATCAGTCTAAAACAAGGTAGAGGCAGTGATAATGTAAGAAGGGGAAGGATTTAAAAACATGTTAAGCAAATGGAAGCTACAAGATTTCATGAGCAGTGTATAGCAGGTGAGTGTAGTCTAGTGGTGTGTCCTCGAGTGAGGTTTTAGCTGCATAGCAACCCCATGTGACTGAATAGAGTTGCCCCCTGAGGTTTTCTAGGCTAAAGTTTTTATAAGAGCCGATTGCCAGTCCTTTTTCCTGTGGAGAAATCTTCCAAATCTACTGCCCGGAATCTTTTCTGACTCAGTGATCCTTTGAAGAGTTTCCAAGACTCTCAATCTTTAGAGGAACAGACTGCTTCATATGTTGTCTTGTAAAGTGGCTGGTGGCTTTGAACCATCAATTTTTATTGGTACCAAAGCTTACCTCAGAGTACCACCAGAAAAGAACCCTGCTAAATTATTGATACTATTAGTAGAATTACCATATGCTCCAAGGGGATGATAGATATATATAATGTTCCCCAATAAAAGGAAAATGACACCTCTAAATTGAACCAGGGACATGTACAAACCATAGGTACTGGAATAGATTTTGAGCTTGCACTTAATCTTAATTCTAATCGAAGAACAATGAGCGCTTATAATGTGGTTGATGCTTGCTCCCATGAAGAGCTAGATCACTGAAGATATGGGTGCTACAGCCAAATGTGGTGAGGAAACCAGATGGCGCCCAGCTATCAGAAAGAAGTGTCTGAGGTTTTAACGTCTTGTGTTAAAACAAGCAGCCATCTAAGTGTGGTGTCAGCTAAATCCACGTGGAGGAAGCACACCTGCACGTGTGATACAAGGATTGTAAACAATAAAATCCATGACCAGAGGAGGGAATGGTATCAGAGTTTAAATTGATAGGTTTTCAGAAGGCTATGGATTGCCAGAAGAAGCCAGCTCCTAGCACAATCACTACGGGTTTGGTAGGCGCAATTGTACAGCGATAATAAGTAAATATTATAGTAAAGTTATAGAGAGCATGAGAGATAAAAGAGATATATAGAAATAAATGGAGTCAGACACATTTTATGGTAGCATGCTCACCTCAGCCCCGCTTGGTAATCCACGTGGAGGGAG